TTTGACGTTATCTGTGTATTTACTAGAGTACAGACACACGGATGGAAAATGGTAGCTATTTGTTAACTGGCATTTTCTCGAGCGCAGTTGATGAAGAGGATAACAGGAGTGCGCAACAACGGTGGTATTACCTACACAAACATGTCAAACATGATATGGAGATAGTTTCCAATGCGGAAGTGACTAACGGGACCCTATACCTAGAACTTAGAACATTGATTTGTAATTTTTAGTAGATTCACTGATATTTTTATGGCTAGGATTTCTTTCGGGATTTAGAGTGGTAAAAAAAGACAAAAACAAAAAACAAATCAATATATAAAGTTTGCATTTCGTCCGAAGAATGGCTATCAAATTTCAGTGGTGGGGTGACCTCATGCAAATTCTTGGAAATGTTGTCTCTATTTTAACGTGTCACTCAAAACCACGTGGTGACAATTCAAAGGTTTGGCCAATCAAMATTCAAGGATTGACGTTTAACTTTGTAATTAAGTCTTGTGTTCAGTAGAAAGCCCACCCTCTTTTCCAAGYGTCCCGAGTCAGTTTTAGCCGCGAACGCAAACTCCGGACTCGCTAGTGCATCCAACTAAAGTTTTTAAGTACAGCCAAGAAATACTAGTAAGTGTTACTTTGAAGTCTTTTACAACTTTTGTCTAGTTGATAGAGGCTCTTGATCCCTCTTGATTGCATCGGTACTTCTTACAGTCAAAAGACATGAAGCGCGCCCCCTGATCGAAGAGCTGCTAGCACTATGCAAAAGCAAGCAGTASTGACGTTGAATGCCACGTTGAATGATTCACAACTCGAATAGACTAGTTCACACTGACTCTCTAGTCTCTCTCTTCTTTCGCCCMTTCAGCCTATAATAGGTCCGTTGAATAGTATAAATCGGGCTTTAAGTCGCCTCTGGGATTACTACGTTTTAAGTTTTARTCGAGGGAAAGCTTAGTGACTAACTATACTTTCACTTTCAATATCACAAGAAATGCGCAATTTGTAGTAGTTGGTCATCTTTTCTTTAACTCTCACCCTTAATTCACCATCCAATCACAACAATCTTATTCTTTAATTACAAAAGAGTTCATTTGATAACTACAAAACATATTCATCGAAAAAACTGATGTATTTATGGTTAGGCCTGATCCCTGATCGCATTACATACATAATGGCAATGTTTCGATATTTTGACTTGAAGACACTACGCATAGCCTACTTAGGGCTACATCTTACATGTAATTTTCACTGTAATTTGCCAATCGGGTTCGTGCACTTAGCGAAGTTGAAATGCAGATTATAAACAAGCCCCACCCTTTTACCTTTGTTTAATGTAGGCTGGATTAACACTCGGACATGTTTTGATAACCGCGGTATCCCAGGCACAATAACTAAGTAAAAAGTACGTCCTTAAATAATATTTAGAACATAAATAAAAATTTTAGTTAATTAAAAAAAATGTATTTATGAAATATGAAAATATGAAATATTTATGAAAGTTTTTGACCTCACCGATGCTCGAACCCTAAACGTCCCTTCTCAAACCATTATCTTACCCTATGCTAATAGTTTTTTAGTAGCTCGTAAAAAATAAAAAATGAATTCCAATTCTTTCTTTATAAGAAKTCATCCATTGAACAATGAGAAAGGGGTTTGGTTCAGTTTATAAACAACTTCACTTGCCCTCGATACAAACCCTCATCGTCCTAGTCATTGAACCCGTTTATCTAACATGAGCACTAGAATATTGAATTAAGGACCGCATTACACTCAGATCTTGGCGTGCTATGTAATAGGGAACTTCAGATTTGACAACGAGTACGAGATTGAGTACGAGTACGAGTTTTCAAACCAGCTTTTTGTTGTGTTGTCCATACTGGATTTCAATCCACTTCATGTTTTTATTTCTTTGATCTTTMAAACTACTCGCMGGAATGCAATTCATGATTAATAAAATACTTAAGGCCAATTTTAAAACTCGTACTCGTACTCAATCTCGTACTCGTTGTCAAATCTGAAGTTCCCTAATATTTCAGGGGCGGCGGAGCCGGGGGGACACTGGCCCCCCACAAAATGTTTAGCCGGGAAGGAGCCAAATAACAGCTGCAAGAGGAGAGTAAAGAAATGATGAATAAATCCCCTCATGAAAAACTGGCAAAGAACATACTTGCGGCCAAATGTTTGGCAAATGAGTGTACTGCAAAGTAATAGTTAAAATGTAAATAAGTAGAAAAACGTACATAATAGATACGATTATTTCCAATAATAGAGAGCGATGAGTCAATCAGGTGCTTTGGTAGCAGTTGACAGCGGTCAAGAAGACGTACAATTGGAGGGACTTGCTGAAGCCATGAGAGAAATGCCWAGAGATATGTTGGTATTTTCCACATGCATGAGATCCTTGTACGTAGATAAAGCTGTTGGAACCAATAGTCAAGCTGCCAGGAAGTTTCGCAAGCTTCGTGACGACACCCGTAATGACGCCATGGTCTACCTGAAAGGTATCCTTCCAGTTTCACAGCAGTTGGTTTCCGSCATCCAAGATTTCTTTGAAAACTACATTGACCTTGATTWCGAAGAGTGGGTGGAATCACTTCACGATATTGTAGAAGATGTGAAGGGATATAAAGATATTTGCAATGCTGTCGTCAAGATGCACGAAGAAATCCTAACACCTCTTAAAATGAGAGAAGATCAAGCCAAACTCGTAATGTCCGAGTTGAAGGACCTCCAAAGGGAATTTGAAMAAAGGAAAAGGGAACTTGAAAGGTCAGCAGCCAGTAAGGAGAACTGGGCTTTTGGTCTCTTGTTCGTCCCCGGTGTAAACCTCATTGCATGTCCACTTTTGAAAAGCTCTGCAGAGACCGACATAGCCAATGCTGTTGCCAAAGGAGCAGAGGCCCAAATCCAAGAGGCGTCAGCTCTGGCTGTCGCTAACTACTTGATACCAGCCCTGAAGAGATTCATTAAAGGTCTGGAAAGAGCTGCAGGATTTTTCTCGTTGATGGAAAGTGAGTTAGGGATGTTTGCCTCTAAAGGAGAAAAAAGTTTTGACAACCCAAAGAAGCTTCATTTCAAAAAGATGAACAAGAAAGCCATCGAGCTCAAATCGTATTGCCAGAAATTCATGATTGCCTTGCCATCTGTGAGGACCGATTTCGAAGCCATTCCAACCGAAGGCACAGACCAGAACTACGTGGACAGATGGCTGGAAAAGCAAAAGTTAATCATAGCACAAAGCTGCATCGTTAAGTCAGCTTTTAAAAGCATTATGTCTGCCATTTATAAGCCCACTCCAGAACCTAAAAATCGCCTAGTATCACCTTAAGTTTCAGTCAACAAAAATATTATTCTTAAACAAAGCCGATTGTAATAAAGAGTCATTTACTTRGAAACATTAGCAATCATAACTTTTCTGCTAAGATGAAGGGTTTCCTATATTTTGTGTGCCTGATGAAAAGAAAACAAAAGGCCAGACCATTTTACGTCCAGTCTTGCATTAGTTAACTTATATAATATCTACTGTAAACTAACGACTTATTAACTTTGCCGTTTTTATAGCATAAGAATTGTAGTATCATAATCAATACACAGTAAATAAAATGATTGTTGAAAGCCGTTTATGTTCCTTTCACTGAAGATATGCTCATGGGCGAATCCAGGGGAGGTGCTTTGGGTGCGGACGGACCCCCTTTTTGGATGACGTTTTTTTTTATATATATATCAGTATAAACATTTTTTTCTGCTGTTTATACTTCTGTTGTACTTTTATCGAGAAAACGCTAGTAGCATACACAACATGTCTCTGCTGAATAATGTAGTTAAAGATACGTTTCAATAAAAATAATTCATTATCGCTCTAGAAAATACGCATCTAACAAAAATGATCAGTTTCATCTGCTATACTTAGTTTTTAATTATATACTACTGACAAAAGCACCCCCTTATAATATGCTGGATCCGCCCCCGATACTCATCTCTTTTTCGATCTTTCACTCATCCCCAACACAATATGTGCGGTCAGAACCTTTTAAGGACTAGTGTTGCTACAATTTTGGACAAAAAGAGTTGAAGTTTTTAATGCCGCTCAAAATAGTCATTGTTTGTCTATAGCCCCTTTCCCCCCTTTGGGAAGACTTGAAATTGAGATATCTCGAGTGTAAATTACTCAGTAGTCATCATACTATTCTTTACRATATATTGTAGTGTCCCTGAGAGTTTTTTTATGTATTCATCCAACCTCATGTACATTGTCTAGTTCTCAATTTATTTTTATGATCAAAGGGTCTAATATAGTTGTATTCTTGAAACTGATACAGCTCGTTAAATGGCTTTGGCACAGCAAAATTGGCAATCGACTAGAAACCAGCTGGTGACCGCCAATCGTTCTATAAAGTCCTTGGCTCAGAAAAACTGGTCTGGAGGGTCAAAGGCCATCGAGAAAGCTGAACAGCTACGTGTCACTACCGTTGATGCCGGAAAATTGTACTTCAGTGACACTCTTCCTCACACTGTRGACATGGTGATCAGGACAAAATATTTGTTCAAAGCCATTAGTCATCGTCTTGAGATAGACAACGAGTTTTCGGAAATTGTGCCCTATATCCTGGACATCATCATACCGCTTTGGCAAAAAACTATAAGAGAAAACGAAAATATGATGACAAGCATGAAAAAGGCAACTGATGAAGGCAATAGAATGATATTGGAATTGGAATGTCTGAAAAAGAACAATGAAACAAAGGCCACCAGTCTTCGTGGAAAAGCCAGCACCAAAGACAAGTKGGGTATTGCACTTTGTTTCATCTTGCCTTTCATMGGTTYTGTGCCAGCATATTTTTGTTGGAAWTCGGCTGACCATAATCGATCAGAAGCCAGCCAACAGGAGGCCCTCGCAAGAAAGCACGCAGTCACATCACGAAACGTGGCACAAGACCTTATTCCTGTTGCTAAGTCATGCACCTCACTTGCTAAATATGTAGCTGKGTTCCTGGAAGAGTACAAGGCGATGTTTCAACAAATAAATCGCAATGGAGAAGGAGGATTCCGTCGACATCATATTATTAAGATAAAAAGAAAGGCAATTGAAGTAGTTGATGCTTGCGAAAATGTTGAGCATGAGTTGCCAACCGAGTTAATCACATCACTTTCATTCTAGTACACTTGCAGCACTGTTACACCCTAGCTAGTGTTAGGATTTGGGAAAMTAGGGGAATATCAGAGTGATATCAGCTTTACTCATTTGTTTTCCGTGTGTTTTTTTTGTGAAGGGAGGAGGTATGCACATATATAAATTTTGGTCGTTGAAAGCCCCAAATTCCTTTTTACGAATATTCTCTTCTTCAAGTGGATAGGAACAATTTTGACGATGAGATGGGGCAAAGCGTGGTAAATCAGGGGACGTACCACAAGAAACTATCATAAATTTGTTTTTACCACAAAAATATTCCTCAATTAGCTGGATAACAATCCAAGAAGAAAAAAAATAGAACCATCTTGGGATTGTGGTATTTATTTTTTATTCACCACGCCTCTCGACCAATCAGAAATCGATAAAATTTACAATTGTGGTTTTATAGACAACATTGATTTTATGGCTTTATAACTAGCTTATAAGAATTGTATAACTAAGCAGAAACCGCATACAGCAGATTTCGTGTGCCCACATGCTGAAGGTTTTTTTAAAATCAGAGCTTTGTGCAGCATTATGTCATCACTATCAGTCTGAGCGACGTAATCGCTTCGTACAACGTGACGTTTCATTGTTCAATAAGACGCACTTCATGTCTCCATATAAACAAGCACAGTGTATAGACTCACCTACGCCTCGCGTTTACAACACACTTGTTAGTGTTTAATTTTGAACATTTATCAAACACTCGGTTATATTTGATGCGTAAAAAAAGGTTTGYTTGTCAATCAATATACAGTTGTGTTTAGTGCTCATGATTCATACTGACTTTTTCCTTTAAACACGAAAAAAGAGAATTATCACGACCTTCTTTCATTCGTTTAGATCCCATTCAATTCAGTTTTTAATTCTATGATAATGCATGTTCTATACATTATCATAAGCATTAAAACAGCTGTGTTTTCTGATGTATAATAGTATGACAAAAGTCGTTTTAAAATCCCTATTGAATTCTGGTCATATATGTTAACGAAAGCACTTTCTTATTCGCTGGCGTACGCACTTGGCCTTTTATCATCCAGGTTCTTTTTGATTGTATCAATATCCCTGGTGTTAATCCGTCCATCAATGCAATATACGCACACCATAATTCACAAGATCGCTGAGTTGAGCAAGCACGGAAACGATTTTGCAATTTATCTGCGTCAGAATATAAGTGCAAAGTTATCAGTTGTAACGACTATTATCACTTCAAAAACCAATCAGAAGTTCTTATTTTATTTAACCCTGGGAAAGGAATTTCATGTTGATGGACTTTGGTTTAAAATGATACGATTTATTTGCATGTGCGTGAGGTTTTCAGTAATATAGGTTAACAATAAATCTTATTTTGTAATTTAGTATAATTGGAAATGGGTTGTTATATAGGTTTGACAGTAGCGCGTGATGTTTATCCACGATATTCTACACCTTTTATAATTAAATGCTGTGTTTTTTATTTGTTTTTGTTGTCATTGATTGATTTTAGTATATTGAATCATATTCGTTTGATTGTAACATTCACGCATGTTACAATCAATCATATTCGTTTGACCCTGAGTCGATAAACGCACTTATTTATCAATCATTGTGAAGTCGTTCAAGATTCGGCATTCCGTCAGTTTACCCATTCCATTCATTCACCTTTCATTTAGTTCATTGATGTATATTTTTCATGCCACTTTTTTACGATCGTTGACTTTCTCGTTCAATCATTCACTCAGTCATTTATCCTTTCAAAATCGATTGTCAATTCGTTGCGCTTCACGAATCATTCACTTATGATAACCATATTTCCTTCATTCATTTCCATATAAGCATTAGTCATGCAGTTGTTCTGTCCACATCAAGTACTGACATTCAGTCTCTCTTCATAGGACAAGTTTGCACGAGGAAAGTGTTCCTCTAAGTAGGGCTAACTCTTTAGTTTTGTGAAGTAAAGACAGGCTCTGATTGGCCAAAAAAGTGTGTTTTATGAGAGTATAAACCACGATTGTGCGCGAGCGATTTTTGAAAAAGGCAACAAAATGGATTTTTGCTTAAGTTTTGCTCAAAATCTATATAATAAAACAAATAAATAAGGCTCAGCCTGTGGTTTATACTCTGATAAACGCACGCTTGGCATTTGAAGAACACTCAAAAATGTCCAAAAGCACTCGCTTGTGCTTCTTGACATTTTCTCGTGTGTTTCAAATACCAAGCGTGCGTTTATCAGAGTATAAACCACGGCTGAGCCTTATTTATTTGTTAAATAGTCACTTGTATGCATCCCTTAACGTCTCTCAATCAATATGATGACCGAGCTGTAGCTTCACGAAAAGTCTCATGACGTCACGATACCAATATTGCAACATAAAACTGATTATATTTCACACTTTAAAATGGATTTGTAATGTTTACTTTAAAGCGTGCGAAGTTTTCAAAATTATAATAACCACTTGAAATGGGACAAAAGCCTGGAAATATGAAATATTTACATTATGGAAGAGTTTCCACGATATACCTGAGTATCTAAACAAAAAAAACTTCATCTCGTCCTTCGGGGATGGGAGGGACTGGGGGGGGGGAGGGGCTGAAAGGGGGGATAGGGCTAAAATACAATTTGTAATGGCAATTTGTAAATAGACCAAAATCAAAACTATTTTGTCGATTTCTAAAATGAAACAGATGGAATTCAGGCTTTGTGGTCTAGTGATCGATCACTATGGAAAGAGAGCACTCATGGAAATGAGGACTTCTAAGCGCTCGTTCGCTGCTCGTGTTTATGGCACCACTTGTTTTGAGATTTCGCCACTCGCACAGCGAATCAAGCTTTTATTTTCTTTTTTAATTTTCTAAAGAGCGCAAAGAACAGTTTACGGGACATGATATCCTTGTTAAGAGGCAAAACCCGCAGTGAAACAGATAGCATTGTGTTTTTCAATTATGTACATTGATCGATGTAAACACTTTCATTCCGGCCAGTTTGGACAAAACGTTCTTTTTTCTGATTACAGACAAGCTAATACACTACAATGTGCGATATCTTAAAAAGCATTCTATATACTATTTGTTATAAAAACCCAGTAGACGGTTAAAAACAGTATAAAAACAACATCTTAGAGATTTAGTAAATCGCAATGTGAGCTCGGATCAAACGTTCCAAATAGTTTCAATTAAGCTGATAAGCACTATGTTCACGGGACTTCCATGTTTAATGGACACATATTACTTAACGCAACATGCATGTACAGAGTGTTTAATGGCTATCTACATGTGCACATACCAACCTAATGGACCTCATGCACGCGACTCACGTGAGTCCACGCTGCATATCACGTGCGTTAACGTGCTGTCGAGGTACGTAATCTACCATAGTTAATAGAGAGATGAATCTACGCATCCTCAATGCTCTCAGACAAGGAGTAGTGCACAGATAGTGAAAATTGTTAAATTATCGTTCAAGTATCTTGAATTCATATAAATCAGTGTCACTACAGTATTATGCTTGGTCATTTGAGATATATTCTCAACGTATACTGCAGGCGAGGGGTGTGAAGTATGGTGAGCGAGCGAGTGAAATATCGATACGATTGAATGTGTCCGCTAAAGAACATGAAAAAGACGGCATGCGCGCCCAAACAATTGTTTAAACTACGCGAGTAGTTTGGTCCCAGTCAGTTTCAGGGCTTAATGTTTTCCCAAGTAGTTTTTAAGACATTTTTAAATGTGCTTTGTCTGGAGTTACAGCTGGTATTGTAGACTTATGAGACAATTGAGTTGATTGGTTTTGAAATATTTTGACCGAACAATTCTAAAATGTTCGAAAAAGTTGTTATTTTTTCTTGCTCACTTAGTCAGAATTGCATCATGTTTTAGTATATACAGGGAGATACTGAAAAATATTCTCAAAAGTCCCGGGAATAGGCGCTAACAAAAATGTGTATGCCGCCTTCGATTAAAGAAATGTCAAAAAATGGACAATTTGTTTTGCTGTAGATTATTAACGAGTTGGAAAAAGCACCGGAAATATTGAAAATCGAAAACGAGTGTACTTGTTTTTGCTTTTACCTTTAAGCCGCTTTCTCATCATTTTGAACCGCCAATCATGATCAGGGTGTATATTTTTTAATGATGTCAGTCCCCGCACACGCCTTACATTAATCACGAGACTGCAGCCTGAAAAAAAAAAACACTCTCTGCCATTTATTTCTTTGACAGACGACAAGCATACATGACGAGAAAATTATTTTCTCGGAGTGGAATTTTCAGATTGCGCAAAAAGTCGCACCAAAAACTAATATTTTGCTTTGAACTACTAACAGAACCTTTTTCATACGTATAACCCATTTGCTTAAAAGATATTAGTGTTGGAGTATTTATTTGTTTTTCTAGAAATACTTCAAAGGATAAACTCAATCTGGTTTGACTAAATGAATAAATTGATGAACCGGCAATGGGTCCATCCCACGCAAAATGGCTTACATCATGAAAGACATCAGCCTCACCATCAACGAATACTTTCTGGCTAACAAAATGAGCTTGTTGTCAAACTCAATATATTTGATTTTGATTTATAAGACATAAACGCTACCTGATATTTTGTTAGAAAATCTAATTCGATGCGAGCTTAATTGTTGGACTTAGTCAGGAAAGTCTAGCTCTCGCAACGTAGTATTCAATTCTTTCCTGATTTAAAATGAGCCAACTGGTGAGCGTTTACACGGTAAAAAAGAGCGAGGCTGTCACTGTTTAGTGTGGACTTTGACCGGTGATAAACAGAAAGACGATGTGTAAGACAGGAAAAAAATCGCTAAAATTCCAGAATGTTTGACAGAAATTTGTTTATTTTTCCCTTGTGTTTTATTTTACAAAAACACGTCCTCGATTTGAAGAGCCCAAAGCAAAATTTCCATAAAAAATCCATGAAGAAAACAAAAACCCCCGCGTCATGAACTCCATTTTACTTACTAGCGATCCATCAATGTAGTATCTTTTCTCAGTTCTTTATCTACATTCTCTCATATATTATGAATTTATTCTACTAAGACATCATTACATTCTCAGTTCATACTGGTTTAATTTCGATGAAGAAAATTGAAATAAAAACCAAAAAGCAGGCTATTTCAGTTTTTTTTTTGGTGTCAATGAAAATTGACTTTATAGGCTTATTTCAGTGATTCTAATTCTCATCCACAAAAAAAAAAAAATAAAAATAAAAATAATAATAAAAAAAAAAACATCGCACGATGATAGTAAAGTATCGGGAGTTTGTTGACTCGACTCAACACCTACACAGGAGATGTAAGGCGTAAAACCTCGAGCTGTGCCCAGCCAGGTGCTGGCGCATTATCAACGATGATGATCACACAGATATCATATCAGAGCTTAAACAATAGTCAAACCAAGTGAACAATCAACTTTGGTCTTCTTTGGACGACTGGAATTAACACTTCCAAGGCAGCAATAATCCTCTACTATAACATTAACAGGAAAGAACTTAAAAAAATGAAAGGTAGTCGACAAGAGAGGAAACTCGAGCTCAGAGAAATAGACTGAATTGAACTTTAATCGATAAGGAGCGATGTTATTAGGCCAACTTTTTGATAAATATGTAGATAGAGGAAAAGCACCGCGAAAACACTGCGAGATACGAATATACAGCGGGCATGATAGAAACATTTCATGATATCTTCGCATAACATAGAAAAGATGGATGAATTCATTTATACTCCATGAAAAGAAAAAGGACAGAATTAAAATAAGAAAAAAATGAAAAATGAAAAAAAAAATCACTGATAGTATTAAATGATATTAGGTGAAAAAAATCAGTAAACATTTAAAATTGTAGGACTTGGCTTAAAATGAGAACTATTAAAAATACTGGTATAAATGCGGCAATAAAAAACAAATAACAAACATTAAACACAGGTATTAGACGAGAGATCATTCAAGTATCCCTTCGTGTTGAAAATATTCACTCAATTTATTCCTTGGTAATAATTGTCTTGATGATAAAGGGCTTTTGAAAGCTTCATCTTCAAGAACGCTTTGTGTACAACTCAAGTAAAGCGAGCCTTCATCAGCTTCTCAGAGTTTTGGTTGCTTTGAAAGAGTCCACCCACACAGACACTCGACTAAAGTTTCCCCCGAGTTTCCTTTGGTATTCACTAAAGAAGGAAGTTCTCAAACCAAACGCCAACTGCAAGGAGTAGAGTCCGTGACCATAAAGTGCATTCGAAATGCTAGCAAAAAGGAAAAGTGCTATTATAGTTTAGACTTTGTCGAATTCTGAGGGTTTTTTAAGGTTATTGTTTATAAGATTTCTAAAAGGAAGTGGTCTTTGTAAGCCGAGGCGGGGAAATGATAACATAATTATTAAACACAGAGAGGCGACTGGAAATGGAAGAATAGAAAATTGAAAAAATGGAAATCGTTTTCAACCAGCACATATTTTGTTGTTGGTACTTTGTTTTGCAAATGAGTGTGGAATCTAGTGAGAATGAATATGTTTCGTTATTGAGTAAAGAGCGAGCAGCGAAAACATTCTTCACATACGAGTGAAGTTTGAGATTCACCGACCTAAAGTTGTTAATCTCGATCAGTAGTGAAATGACCTCACGCAGAAAAAACGCCAATTTTATCAGACTAATGAGCAAAAACGACCATTAATAAAACTATATTCAAGACAGACTCAAGGAAGCTTTAAAAGTTGACATTGTGTAGGATTACTAGTGTTGACGACATCCAACCAGTATTTCATCCTCTTCACTATTCTGGGAACATTTCTTATAAATGTAAAATAAATTAGCAAGCATGTCACGTACATTTATTTACTTACTGTATGTGAATGAATAACTACTATTTCCCTATGTAAACTTTGTACACGCTCTATGTTTTATACTCTGCCGTAAACCAACGAGATTCTTCGTAAAAGATTCGGAGCTTTATCGACTAAGATTCGACTTGCCATCGACAGCAATAGCTGAATCTTTGCTAGCCAGTATCTTATGCAATGGCTTAAATCTGTTTTTCTAAAGATCGGCTAGCTCAAAGCATAAATCATTGCTATAACGTAGCAATCATTACAAAAACATCCTTAAAAACCTAATTGCCAGAGAGTCATTTCTAAGCGTTCTAAAAATAGTTCAGGGGAAAATCAAACAAAAACGCAGCTTATTTTTAAAATCATGATCTCAAGTGTACCTCGATCCTCGCACTCTGATTGGTCAATTCGCAACTTGACATAATTAGTTCGGTCAAGCATGACGTCATGACATTCTTTTGACCGATACTCGAGTTTATGTTCTGTTACTCGTTGATAGCCTTGCCGAAGAGAACACGGCTCCTCGCAACTCCAAATCCAAGCTAATACAGCCTTTGATTAATAAGCAAGTGTTTATACTTTAGAAAGAGGGCTGACTAAGAGCCCTTGTTTCTTCGCTGAAATGGAAAGATACCGAAAACACCTTGGCAACAGTCAGAACAGCGTAAGCTTTGACACTACATCACCATGGCGAGAATGTACGTTACCTTATAATCGTCAAGCTTTACTGGAAATTTCTAGCTCTCATAGGAATGGCTTTTCTAAGAGTCTAGGGGATATTTCCTCGCTTAGTTCGCCCAGCAAATACCAGCGAAGAACTGTGATGTTTGAGGAAGACCTCAGAACGCACGCAGAAATGCTTGATCGAGCGAGGACAAGATTTCGGGAACTTGAACTAAAATATCCAGAAGTTTTCAAAAACTCATCAAGAACATCTTCTATTTCTTCTCTAAATACACTACGAGGTCATAGCATGGTAAAACAGCCTTCCATTGAACTATCTTTTCACTGCTGCGAGTCAGAAAATCAAAATTACGATCATGACCTAGAGGTGAAAGAAATAGACCAGCTCGGTGACTTGACGCAAGTGCCGGCGTATCGCAAGCACAGTGGAGGCCAAAGACGAAGAGCTCCTCTTCTCTCATCATCGATGAGATCTCATAATCTTGAAGACAGCTGTGATAGTGCTTTTGATGAAATAGATCGAGAATCGAATCATTCTCACGATCGAAGCCCCAACTATGTCAACAACACAGCTTCAACGCGGTTTCTGTATCCCGGAGACAGTTTGGAGTCGGATAAAGACAGTGGGATTTCAACCGATCAACCTTTCGTCCCTCCAGCAAAAACTTTGAACTTTCACAAACGCGCCTCCTTTCTGGAATCGGAAACTGTCCAGATCAACAAGTCCTTGAGCTTATCTCAGCCAACGCTTCTAAGCGATTCTAGCAGCCATCCAAGCTGGCAGTCGACCGACCAACCGACTAGGAACCGGACGAGTAGACAGGGAATTCTGAAGTCAACTGCTTACAGAAATCAAGGGATACGGAGCGAAAGTTTGGATGCAGAATTTCCTTTGGACCGAGTGAAGTACAGAACGAGAAGAAGTCGACTTCAAGCTTTGAAAACTGGTAAGATTTTTAAGGATTAACGATCAGATTTTAAAATAACGGCAAATATCCTGGGGATTAAGTATATTTTCAAAGCTCACAGTAAACTGGGTGAAAAATTCTCTTTTGCGGGGATCACTCTTCCCTTAATTGCCATCGTCGGGATTCTGGAATATAGGCCTGTCAATATTCAAGAAAATAAGATTACAGCATTTAATGGATTTTTGAATTAAGTATACTTTCCGTCCATCATCGATGACATGAAATCAACATAAAACACGATTGTGTAAATTTCCTTCAATGCGAAATTGACATAAGCTTTAAGCATTGATGTAAACTTTTATTCATCGTCAGATCCATTGCGTTATAGTTTTTTTACGAATTGTTTTCTTATATTTCACACTTGAGCCTAACTAGATCTCACTAACATAAATACAAAGGCCGACGTAGTTAATGTAAGCTATTGTTTTAACAAATTATCTCTACCATGTTAAATCGTGTTAGATTTCCTGCTTTCCAAAATAAAGGATTCATTCCACACAGTTATAATTTGGAGCACGAGATAATCCATCACGTTCCAGGGACTTTTTGTAACGTGTGTTTGAAAAAACAAAAAAATACAAACCTCACTGGTTTCATGATAAATGATGTCTAGAGATATTTTTCGGAAGTACAAACGCGTTTATTTGGCAGTTTTCCCTAAGGTCTGTTCGCAGCTAATTTGCGCGAACAATATCTCACAGGGAGAAATGGATTGCCTATTTTTAAAATGACCTCGTAGTTATAACAAAGATCCGACGATTTTCTCTTTGGAAAGCCCTTGCAGGCAAATGATTATTATAAATTACGATACATTTAAACAAAAGGTTGATAGGTTCCGAAGGTCTAAAAATATATTTTAAAATAGGCAAGTGCAATTTATATATGAATATGCAAAAGGCCATTATCAAATTGATGTCTCGGAAATACATTTATTCTTATTCAAAAAATTTAGATTGCCTTCTAGAAAAATCCGTGTGCTGAAAATAAGGTTTGAAAATCAAAATTTCGTAGTTAAATCTATGGTTAGTATTGTTTCATTTAGACTAATTGAATGGGTAGTTTTACAAGGTTAATGCTTTCAATTTAAAGATAAAAAAATATTCTAGATATCAATGGCTTCCTTCCTTTGGACATGTCATAATAGGAGCTTAAAATAATAAATGAATTGAATGCAATCAAAAACAGATAAAAGCAGAACTAAAATTAGGCACAAATTTAAAGTGTTTTGAAAAACAAAAAGGTTCATAAGACTGTTTCTCCAGACATAAGCATATTTCAGGTCATAACAGTTTCATGTATTTGAAACAGAAATGGTAAATTACTCAAAAAGGTGCCTATATATAGATCATAAAGAAGTATTTGGTCTAAATATATACCTCACATGATAGGATAATTATTTGAGTTTATAAACATTATTGTTGCGACAGTGAATCTAAATGACAGACCAAGCACCAGACAGCCTCTACTCAATTATTGTTAATGATTTGAAATTCAATGAGATACCTTCGATAAACATGAATTCACTTTGGTTCATTRACACAGCTGCTCGAAACGCTTCTTTTCCCTTCACTGGGGTTTGATTATATTAACACATATAACAGGACTTTTATTTGACATTATTCTTGTAGCTGTTAATTAACAACTACATCAAAGAGTGAGTTATATCTTTTGAAAGCAGAGGAAATTGAATATCCTTGTGAATTGTAAGATAATGTTTAAGAATTAAAGTGGGAGAAAAGCAGAAGGCGCCAGAACACAATTAACATAAAACACTAAATAGAAAGTTTCAGAGTACAATTTGATTTATTACAGCAAAATTATCAAGAAAAAAAATATTAAATTTCATTAGGAACTGTTATTGATCAAGCTTTTTCTTTTAAGTTGGCATACAATTGGCATTCAAATCATCATATAAGAAATTGCTTTTTTTATCAATATTATTACAAGATACTATCTTCTTGTCGTAGTACTATAATTTCACCCTAAAGCCAAATCATTAATTTAGAATATTTCATTCATTAACCTTATCCTAATTTTGATTTTACAGGCTCTGAGGTTTACAGGAGAAGTACTACAAATATTCCCTCCTTCCTAAGCCAAGACGACGACTGCTCTGATGTTGAGACGGTCAACAGTGTACGCAGTGAGGTGTTAATAAGGCCAAAGATAAGTGCACGACAGCAATATCTAAGCACTTATGGTCTTGATAGAATCAATACTGATGAGAATACAAGCAATAATAACAGACTTTATAAAAGCAAGAGTTTACCAAATCTAGGATTCTCTCAGTCGTCATTTGATGAGGCTACGGGATTCAGCGGAGCTGTACTGTCTTGTGATAACCCAAAGAAACGAAAAAAGAGAATTCTACAGAGATTTGGAAGGAGATCAGGACTATATGTTGTTAATGACGTTCCAGCTTCAGAAAAACCAAAGCTGCCACTTTCTCCAGGAAATTCCTGGAAAAAGAGAAGGTCAAAATTAAAGAAATCTACTTCTCTTGAGCCGTCACATGTCAATGAGACCACAAAAGTTTGGTATGACCATACAACTGCTGTCAGCAGGCCATCAAATGGCCAAGTTCTTGGACGTGTGCTGACCTTGCGTGAAGATTTGGGAATGGCATATGAGATTGAACTACAGAGACCCAATGATGGACTATTTGGGTTTTTTATTCAAAAAGGATACAAGGATTGTCGTAAGGGCGTGTTTATAAGTCGTATAATGGACTCGTCAAGTGCAAAGTTTATTGCTGGTTTATTGAATCCTGGGGATGAGTTACTAGAGGTTAATGGTCAGAGTACAAAGACAAAGAGTGTTGCGCAAGTACAGAACATTATGACACATTCTGATAAACTTCTGTTAACAGTATTGCCATATGTCAGCCGAAAAGACTGGTGAACAAAACCTTTTTATTAATAAAATTATTCTTTGTGTTTATACCAAAGACTTTAAAACCTAGTAAGCATAAAAGGTATCCCAATGTATCATGGAAATAGAGTAGTTCTAATATCAGAAAACTCTATGAAATTCAATTGAATATTACAGCAGGATCAAAATGCTTTGAACAAATATCCATAACTAAATGTCAATTCAAAAGTCAGCAGAACTTCCGAGTTGAGTTTAATTTTTATCAAATGGAATTGTTTCATTTTATATTTAAGGACTTGTAGATATTTTTTAAATAGCAAAATGAACCTATCGAATGTACATTGTAGAATAGAAATTTTGGCGGCAGTGATGAAATTATGTCAAATTTCATAATTTTGCCTTTGGTTGAGATATTTAGTTGTAGTTAACATTTATCATAAAAAGCTGCTTGATATTTATTAATAAGAAAACTAGAAAATGAAAACATCTTTAGAATTTTGAAAATACAAATTTGGTGCATTTTACACAACAATTTTGAAAATCATTATTAACTGATGAAATACTTTTGACTATTTAAGTTGTGTAAAAAGGCTTTGTGTAAATACTGTAGAAAAAGAACCAAAGATTGAATGAAAATCAATCAATGAAAAGCTGTATTGCAATGGCCAAACAGCCTTCTGACAACACCTATAGTATGTGTTGTCTACAAACATTGTATTGTGCAATAGATTATAGTACATCAATATTTAATCCACGAACAGTGAAAGACTAAAATGTTAAAAATCAAGCCAATTAATTTGAAAAAGAGATGATCTTGAACTAATATGAAAGGCTCAGGATGCCTATTGAGCTTGAGGTAACAAAATCACATGCAGTGGTAAAAACATAAGTTAGATGTTCTTTTTTGTTATAATAAATTGTATAATTTACATTAATACCATGACCGCAATTAAGATTTTGAGTTAAATGTCTTTCAAGCTGATTCAATTATTGCACTGTGTGTTGAGGAGATGTGCCGACATATGACGTAAAGTGTTAATATTCGTCGTCTTTAAATGTCTCCTTCGGAGCCACCTGATTAAAGCTTTCCAGATAGAGATTTGACAGCCAATGTCTAGTTATTTACTTTAAGATGCGTTATCTGTAAGAATCCATTTAAAGTACCAATAGCTTCTATAATAGTATTAATGTTAATACTTCCATTCATTTAAGTTTTCATAAGGAGAGTACATGCAACAATTCATCATAAAACAAAATGTTGCCTGAGTTTCAACATGGAACATTAGCTAGTAGAACTGTAGTGACTTATGCCTGTTAGAAAGTCAGTTTCATTGTGATTATAGTGTTTGGCACATTTCAATAAATTGAATCAGTCTTCAAACATTCATAACTATTAATATTATACTGTAAAACGGTTGAACTCTACTGATAAGCAATGCAAAATGTTTAAATATTTTTCTTGAGAATAATCCTGATAAAGAAATGGAAAAGTTGCCTTTATCATTTTGAAATAAAATATGTACAAACTTGACAGAAATATGTCTGACGTGTGGTGATTTTAGCATATTCTTACATAGTTCATGGCATACTTTATGTATCATACAGCTTTACTTCACAATATTGCAAACCCTTCAGGATGCAAAGCAAAGCCAGAAAATTGTTATGAATTCTCCTTTAATTTCATTATGGCACTGCCTGGTATATAATCTGGATTGACAAATACCAGCCCAAATCATTCCAGACAGTTTCATTCTAAGTATTTGGAATTGAATTATTGAATTATTTACAATTAAATATGTCTGAACAACAAGCAGTGGAATAGTGAGATCCAAAAAATACGTGACTGGAGGAGATAGTGTGCAAAAAAAGGTGTATTGATTTACAATCAGCACTTGTCTAATTGACTGTTACTAACAGAAACAGATTACATTTCAATCTTCCCTCTTAAGCTTGATTTAGCAATACCATTTAGTGTGTTGTTTGCTGTATTCTTAATTTCCTGACACAAGACTAGTCCAGGTTTCAAACAAACAACAAAACTCTTCACAATTCACTCCTTATAATTACTACTAAAAAGCTGACTTGAAATTCTGACACTAAAACAATTTATTGAAATCAAATAAAAAACACCTCTTAACTATCCACCATTGAAGTTTATGAATCGTTGTAGAGTTTTTTCAGGGAAAGAGTAAACTAATTTACAGCAAAATGAATTGAATTATTAATGGAGGTAAAGCAACAAACAAATCCAGAATACACCTGCTTCACGATGTGATACAAGTAAATTATTTTGACATTATAATTATAACTTTGAAAAGCAAATAAGATGTTGCATGAAGAAGGAACATATTATATAAATAGCTTGCACTTAGTAGCTGAATACTGAGCCATATATCCCACTTCAGTTGAATCAGGGAATACTTAACACAAGTGTCTTTAGAGTGACTCAGCTTTGAATGAATCTTGTGCAGGATGTAGGTAATAGTGGCTCAAAAATAACTTTCCAATCTTCACATCAATAACCTTGACTTTTTCACTCATAAAAGTAAACAAACTTTTCTGTTATCAAAGCTGTTGATTGATTGCAATAGCTTACATTAGCAAGGATCTCATCAATGTTTACTTGCATTTGTTGCTTTCTAGAACAATATAGCAATAATATCATCACTTTCTAGTATAAAGCAAGAATTTTCTAATCAGTGTTTTTTAATAAATGAATTAAAAGACTTTCCTCCTATGAAGGATTAACGTCAATAAGTTATTTCACCTGTACTTTTTATGGCGTGTTAATATTTATTTACTGACGCAGTTCATACTAACTACTTGTTTCAAATCCATATCTTGCATTAATAACATGGGTGGCATTCATCTAACACATCCAAGATTGATCATAATTCATTACTCCATGATGAGTATGAGAAATGTCTGAAAGGGTCAAAGTGGTGTCTAAATCTGCCATATGGGACTAGACAGGGAATTAAGAGTCACATCCCAGTCTCTCTGTGATTGCTAGTGTCTACGTTAGCTTCCTTATAATGTAATATATTGTCATGTTATTCATGAAATATGTCAACTCATACGTGTTCTATGGACAGAAAAAATCACAAAGTGTTTTAATTTGATTTTTGGCGTCTGTAACAATTAAGCAGACTTAAAGGGTTTTTTTTATAATTATTACACAGATAAACATTGATCAATAGCTATCTATGGTTCTGTCATCTTTAAAGAAAACCGACTGGTGAGTTTGCAATGAAAGAAATAAACTTTCACAGCGCTATATCTAGTTATCATTGCCACCTCTCTATTTGTCTCACTGGTTACATTTCAGGATAGTGCAGGGGATTATGACCTCAAGGTGTTTATAGCACATTCTACTAATCTAGCCATCAACAAAAAAAAACTTGGCTCATAAACAACAAAAGGAGAGAAAAACAAATAGTGCCTTTTTTGATATTCTGGTTGAATGATTTTACACAAAAGAAAAGGATGAAACTCACTACAGGGAAACAAAACAATTATTGTTTCCCCTTAGCCTAGTTTTCAATTCTTTTGCACACTGATACTTGCAGCTGTTCCACTGCTTAATCCACTAGTTAGTTCAATGCTATCCACTAGTTAACTATGGTTCTATCCAGTATTATCAATAATTCAACAATTTTGTTTTTACTCTCATTGGTTGAGAACCAAACATTGTTTTCAGAACATCCAGTTTCCATGGAGTAACTATCACAGCATAATGCCCTCAATCAAATACTTTATTGCTTAAATAGTTATTGCTGTAATATTATGATTTAACAAAGGCAACTGATACACGGACATAACTGCGTCATACTCTTAAAGAGAGATTGTCTGCATGTGCACCAGAAGGGATCAACGCCTCATTGATCAACTCCATAGTTTATAAAGATCTAAATCTGGCCTAGAATTTATTGACCTTAACAACCCCAAAATATTATAACAAGAAAAATACTATGTACATGTTATAGTTTAGAATATCATTATAAAAGCACGTAATCCTACCATCACTTGGTCATTAATATCATTTTAAAACAGTAACATTTTTCGGTAAAAAAAGATGAAAGGAAACACCTGATTGACAGAAAGACATGTTTAATCAATCCATGCCAGAATTGGAGACCACAAATTTGGCTTTAAGACAAATGTCAATAGTCAGGAGACAGATTTATATTTCTTATAAAACTTAGTTGAAGACCTATTAACACTAAATATAGACTGAGTTAGGCCATAAGGATCAAAGAGATAAAAAGGTTGTTTTCATTACGTCAACATGAAAACAAAAATATATTTATTTTTAGAAAGTTAGGGTTATTTTTAAACAAACAGCAGAGTATAGAGTTGGAAAATATACATGTAGTGGATTAGCAAGCAGAAAAACAGATATCCAACAGTGAATATAATTAATGATGTAAAGGCGGCATTTAAGTAGTACTTAATTCACTCAACAACAAAATCATGATTTTTATTTCACTAACTGATTTTAGATTTATATTAAATCAATATTTAATTCATATATATTATTATTTCAATTACTATATTGTAATAATTATCATCAAACATATGGAACAGATAACACTGTCATAACCATTCTACAAAAAAATATAAATAATTCTACTTTATAAGTAGCTTAAATATATGAACTTTTCCTTGTGGGTATAAACTGATCCCCCTAAAAGTATATATATAACCCTGAATAATCTACAGCTATAAATATAATACAAACACACCTGAGTAAATACAAAACAATATTTTTTGCAATTATCAACATGTAATTGCATTTTTCATCACCAAGAAACAATCAAGGAAATCTTTACAACTGTGATATGAGTGTTTTGCTTTTTCACCCTCAATTGAGATTTACCGATAAAATGACATCTAAAACATTAACAATGCTGGATTCTAAATAGTCTTAAACATACCTTAAGTATGGTTGGTTGTTTTTGATTTAATTTATGAGATCAAGAGTTACATGTTGTACATAATGTTCAAAAGTACAATAAACTAATTAACACAATACAAAGACAAGTTTAGACTGCATTCATCACGTTGTTACATAACAGAGAGTGAAGCTGAAGTTGTTATGGTTAGATATATCACGAGGTAACACATATGAGATCAAGATGGAGTTACATGTTGTACATAATGTTCAAAAGTAAATAAACTAATTATACTGACAATACAAAGACAAGTTTAGACTGCATTCATCACGTTGTTACATAACAGAGAGTGAAGCTGAAGTTGTTATGGTTAGATATATCACGAGCTACCACATATTATAGTACTTCCTGTTAAAACAAACATGTGGGTGTTCTGTGTAGGCGAGCTAATTGTTGGATAAAGCGAAAAGACCTGATAAATACAACCAAGCAGTCATTATATTTTATAAATGAGTTTCAAATTTTTAAATCATTTATAAATTACAGAAAAATCAAACAACTTTCTGAAAAAAATAAATTAATTACCTACAATTTTGGAATAATCATCACAATTCAGATACTAAGAGAGAATTCTTACGAAGTTAATATTAATTGAAACAGATGCTTTAACTCCTCTGGTTGCTCAATCCTTTGTTTCATAAATGAGAATTATTCTCAAGTGAAAGTGAAACTAAAAATCCATTGACACTGCTTCACTTTATTATAAATAATTCAAAAATTCAACTGTACAAAGAAAAACAGCTAAATAGAATAAATATATGCATGGCCAAAAGGAAGGTTCTTAATGAAAAATTCTCCTTAAGTTTTCGATAAATGAAAAGCCTACGTCTTGTTCTTTTCATAGGGCTATTAAACATGCTTAGTACAGGGTTCTGTAAGTGATATCAAAGACATCCAATCATAGACATTATTACTTTACCATCACTTAAACACTCAAAGTGAATTGAAGTAGCTCTTGTATCTAAACAGGTTTGACAAGTTATCAAAGACACTCTAGAAAGATCAAGCCACATGCAAGGAGCACAAAGCCAATATTTCTCTGTGTTAAGATTCCAAACAAACACATAAAATAAATCCATATGTATATGAAAAATTGAAAATGTTTGTGATATGAAATTCATACATTATTAGCAAAAGATTCCTTTCATAAATTATATGTAATATTTTATTCTTAGTAAATGCCAATTACTGAATTCAAGAAAACAGTAAATGATAAGTATTAAATTTGTAGGTTATATAATATATTTTGGATAGCTTAAGATGACTATAAAGATAGTTTCATTAGCAATCAAGCGTCCATAACGATGCTGTCTTATCAGCACTAGAGCTGAGAAAAGCCATAAGCTGTGGATGCCATCTGCATTGAATAACTTTATCGCAATGCTGTGCCACAACAGAATATGGTGGGATATTACATTCTAAGTTATACTGCATATCTAGTAATATAATACTAGTATCATACGACGCTGTCAATAGGTAGTGACCGTCTGATGAGAAGCGTACAGATCTGCAGTCTAAGGTGTGTGGTTTGAAGAACTGAAGTGTCCGTCCAGCTGTTATATCATATATCATACAGCCACCATCTTCGTGACCTATCATTAGTGATTATTAATTATTAGTAATAAACCATTTATAGCATTTTTAGATAAATTGATTTCTCATTGAGTTGTGTTCAGCCTTTTAAAAGATATTTGTCTAGGATATTATCTTAAATAAATATTATACATTTGTTAACAGTTATGTGTACTTCTCATTAAAGTGTACAATAAAAATCTGTGCTATTTAATATCTTAATAACCATTTACATTTTGGTTTTTACGACAGACCACAGGTGGATGATATTAGGATAAAATTATAGAATATTAGCAAAATGTGATAAGAAATTAAAACAGTGTTTACAACTATATAACAATATTAAAGACAAAATAACTAAAATACAGAACTGTCAAGGATTGGTTAAAATTATAAAAACATTATGTGGCTGTTTACGTGCAGGTATAAGATTTTTATATGGCAATTATACTGTAACAACAGTAATAATAGGAATCATGCCAAAGATTATAAAAGATAACAAATCAAATTACATTACATGTAGAAGACAGATATTACGGCAGTTACACTGTAGTAACAGTAAAAATATGAACAATATTCCCAATTAATAATAAAATAATAGATTATTAAACAGCTGATCTGCACGTTGCCTTTTGAAATAATTGCACTCAATCAGCCAATCATAGCAAAGATACAGAGTATAATAATGCATAAAACATTGTGATATATACATCATAGTGCTATTATAATAAATACATTGATCATACCTGATGAAAGTAAAGTCCCAGCCGGGTTAACGCACACTGATGCCACACAGCTTTCACCCGTTGCTATAGCGTCAATACATCTTTGTGACCTCAAGTCCCATAGACGCACAGTATTATCATTTGAACCAGTCGCAATGATGTCATCCTTAGCAGCATATATACTCATGATATAGCCTGAGTGACCCTTGAGTTGTCCTATACTATTACCAGTACCAGTGTCTGTTATCTGGACATTACCACATCCTGGAAATGGTACCAATACCAACATTAATGATGAAAAATCTCAGATAAAAGACCCAAATGTCAAGTTTTAGTGTGTGTTTTGATATTTTACAGAGCTTTTAAAGTGCCTTTGATCACAGCTCATGATCAACACACTCTGATACAGTATTTATTAAAAATAATAAGCTTATAGTCTTTTTATCAGAGATTATCACGGAGGTACAACATACCTGCCCCGCCTGATACCAACAGAGATGTGCCACCACTCCTAGTTGCAAATACCAGGTCTCTTACGGTTCCACCGTGGATGTTTAGTTCCATTTCTGGTCCAACCTGAGTACAGTTCTCCGGGTCAAAGCGCAAGACTTTAATTGTCTTGTCATTAGAACCTGTTGCTAGCATATCACCTGTGTTGCTCCATGCAGCGCAGTAAATTGATCCTTTGTGATGTCGGTTACGTTTGAATAGGATTGTAGGCTGAGGAGGAATCATGTCTTCGTTACTGAAAAACAAAATAATCACAAAATCATTATTCATAGAGTTTCATCAAATAACTAAATGGAAGTCATGATAATAATAATAACCATATTCATAAATAGCAAAGTATTTACTTTGATCAAGACTGGAAAACTAATAATAATTTAATAATTATTAGAGTTAATAATTGAGACTGATAATCATTATAAAAACTATGGTGGTAGCTCCATGACAAAAAAAAACAACAACAACAACAACAACAAACAAACTAAAAAAACTTTGTACAAATGATGCTATAATTATACACAAATGTACATGCCTGTTCAGTTTCTTGTAGTTATTAAGACCTGTAGCAGCACAGACTCTTAATGTCTTTGAGTTAGAACCAACAGCAAAAAGATCCCCTGAAGGATGAAATGCTACAGCACGGATWGCTTGTACATCTTCAAGACTGGCAACAGTACAGAATCTTATTGCATCTGGATTATTCTTCATGTATCCTTGTTGTTTCTCTAGTGTCTTAGACATTTCTCTCTGCTGTTGTGTTAAGATACYAGACTTGGTGGTGKATTTGACATTKGCTTGATTTATTGCTCCTGCTGCGTWATAAGACAGACAAAAAATATCAAGACCAGGTGGAAAATATAATATTGCAATAAATAGCCGAGTTTAGATATTTTGGTTCAGTGACAATGCACAAAAGAATTGCAGACGAGGCTCCGGGGAAATAAAGAATAAAACGATATTATACGCTCTTTGATTGGTCATTTTGAAGCGTGCACTTCAAAATAACTCTTTGAAATATTAAAAAAAATAAAATTATCAATGGATAATCTTGATTTATTCTTTATTTCCCCGGAGCCTCGTCTGCAATTCTTTTGTGCATGGTCACTGAACCAAAATATCTAAACTCGTCTATTATGATGCAGTGTTTCATGTGTTGACAATCTGTCAGAGAGCCAACGTATGACATCACAGTAGTCTTCATGGTGTATAATCTGACCTTTTATTACCTGTAATTATTCTTTTATCCCCAACATACATCCAATTACAAATGACACTTTAATATTGCAACAGATAGCATTGCATGCAGGGATCTCAGTAGAAGCCCGCAGCAGGTGAAAATCGACGGTTATAACTTAACTAATTGCCTGCTACTTATGAAWATATTCATAAATTATTTGCTTGCTGTTTGTTAACGGATTGCAGAAAACAGACGGGTATTGATATCTATTTTAATTTTTACTGGGAGGCCTGTGCATGTACTAGTGTTTTTTTGTTTATCAAAAATACAATAAACTTACTATTGTCAACAGAAGGCTTAGGTTTTGCCTCCTCCCTACTATTCTTTTTCGGAGGATTCTGTTTTTGATTGRCAGGTGCTCGATCTCTTGGTGTATTCCCTCCTTTATTGGATTTCTCCCTGATTGGTGCCTTAGTCTCTGGAGTCTCTTCATTGGGCACAGTTGGTCCTTTATTCCTAGACATAGGTGGGCCATTGGACATAAGGGTCCTTCGTACTCCATTAATTTTGGGYCCTCTACGTGGAGTAGGCGTATCATTACTTGGGATTACTGGACTAGCTTTGTCCTATTAAAGAAAACATTTTATTGAATTAATATTCTGAAAGAATTCCAAAATGTTTGTAGGAGTTCTGCTATACAGTTATTTAATATTGTGGGGTGGGGTAAAATTGGAACATGCTATGCTTCAACAGTTTTAAGATATGATATCATGGATAAAAAGACATAGAAAAAAATGACAATTTAATCAAAATCATTGTCATATTTATCTATATCATATAATTATGATGTTCCAACTTCTGCTGTCCATAGCTTTAAACCTTATTTCAAATACAATAATATTGTGTGTATTGGATCCCATAAAAAGCAGATTGACAAAATTTGATAAACAGCAAATTATATAATAAAATAAGCATTTACAAATTATCTTAATAGATAACAATATGTTATGTTTTATATATTTTATTTTATGTATTATTACAATAATGTTGAAGATTTAAATTGTTCATTTTTAGCAGAAAATCTGATGTGTTATAGTCGTTGAGAGTTCGTTATAGTCCATTGATTATGTTGTTACAAAAGCGTTAACCATAACAGGGAAAACTCAACCTAACCGGTACCTGCACCCTATTGTGGATCCATTTACAAAACACAATCTTTCAACAAAATATTAGAAACAAGAGAAAAAACTATGCAGATTTGAAGAACAATTTTATAGCAGTGGTTTAGCATGAAATAAAATAAGTAAGGATTTCTCCAGGTAATGGTAAGTGTTGTACCAGACACCTWTAATCACAACACAAGCTGATAACGATGCTAGTATAATTGTTATTTTTAGAAAGCTGGATTAATACAACAAAGATGAAAATTGCAGAATTAGATTGTGAGAGAAGTCACAGAGAATAAGAGCATGTCTGTTAYAAAAAGAACTYTGCAGTGTTGAAAAACTAAGTCCTGTTATCAGTTCATTGCTTCAWTTGTGTTCAAAGTGTCAAGATCAAAGACCATTTGAACAACAACTAGSTARCATGTGAACAGAAATCCAGCYATGAATAGCAGACACTGCACTGTCCAATGAACCTCTAATGAACCAGAATAGACTTACATTGATAGTGAAGACTGGCATGGTTAGTTTATAGTCCTCCTTTCAAGTTATGATAGTTTAGATTGTTTCCTGCAGCTTAACACAGCAATGTTTTGTGTTGTTTCACTGATCAATGATGTCATTTTGCAGGGAATGATAAACAAAGCAGGTAAGATGTGATATCACTGTTAGACAGCTTTGCAAAACTAAACTAAACACCTATTGTACACTTGACAGTATTTTTGTTTAAAAAATCAATGAAAAAGATATYAATAACAACATGAATTTCAGCACATGGTTTGTAACTACAGTAAGTGTAAGTTGTGAATAAAATATTATAATTTCAATAAAAAGTGGACATTATTTAAATGTAGCACAGCCAAATTTTAGGAATAGAAAAGAATTCTATGTAATGACTATTAGTCTGACTTTCATACAAAATGGCATGACATGGTTAGGCTGCATTAACTAATTGGAATCAAGGATAAGAATCAACAAAAATAATGGATACTGCAAGAAATTCAAATTCAATTTTCAAGGCAAGATATAACTATCAAACGTCCAAAGCAAATATCATAATAATTATTAATATTATAATATAATTATGAATATTAATAATATAGTTAATTAAAAAAACATAAGAAGTGAAAAAAAAAAAGTGAAAATGTTGGGTTGCCTGTGTTTTTTTAAACAGGAAGCCCAACATTGATGCACACAAAGCTGACACCAGTCAAGATACACAATATAATGAACAATAAACCCTTTTAGCGATCTCTTTTATGCTGTGTTAGCCTCAAAACCATGTAATAAACTCTTTTATTCACAACAGCCCGTGCAAATGCAAGGGATCTGTGAGTATAGAAGACAATGGGAATAGTTTGAAATCTCACGAGTTTTATCGACATTTCTGAATATTTTAGCACACAATTGAGGTTAACACAGCGTAAAAGAGATTGCAAAACTCGACTATTCTCAGATTGCTTGTGTAATCTTTAATTTACAAACACATACAAGTAGAACAGAAGAATGATGTCAAGAACATCTTGAACATCCTTAGTATCCTAGGCACAATCTTTCTGTCTTCTTCTTACTCCCAAAAGCGATGGACAGAACATTATGCCTGGTTTCCCAAAATAGTGTTTTTTTAAACATTTTGAACGAATTGAAAWT